CAGAAGTTCAAAAGTGAGTACAATAGGTGAGGAGGGAGCTTTTATATTTTCGGAATTTAGGTTACACTTGGTGCCACATGTGAGGCCTCCACATTAGCACCAAGATTTGAATTCAAATTTTGAATTTGAATTCAAATCTTGTCACACATGTGTATGATCGGTCCCATGAGTGCTAGGTGTATTTAGATTTGATTTAGAGTGCATTTAGGGTTGAATTTGAGTCACACATGTTCATCCAAATGAACTCAATTAGGTAAAACAAAAAAGCACATATAGGTAGGCACAATGATTATAAGCAAACCGAGACCAAATAGTAGACAAACAACACAAAAGAAAAACTAGGTTAAACAAGCTATTCAAGGAATTTTCAACATATAAGAACTACACATAACTTGCTAAGACAAAACAAGGATTCAAAAACAAAAATCTAATGCAATGGATGAAGTCCAATCACGGACACATGCTTAGAGAATGAGGGACTCAAACAAAGAAAAAACGCAGAAGCAAATAGGTCCTAAACATATTGATTGTGGAAAGAAATTCAAAATACAATCAATCACTGGATCTATGGATAGAAAATTTTTTCAAAAACTTATAGATCAGAAATGAAACTCAAACAAGACACACAAGAACACAAAGACAACAAGACAAACGGACCAAAAAAATTAATAACACTTATCTCCAAGAAGAACCTTGCTCTGATACCAAATTCATTTTACTGATCACATTTAGATTACAAACCAGACAAGATACAAAGTATATCAAATTTATTACACAACGGAATAGAAGTTATAATCCAAATTGATTTTAGTAATTACCTTCTTTCACTTTATTACCATATTGTGGAAGGAGTCCATCAGGTCTGTATGGACTTCTTCTCGTTCTTGAATGCGCTTCGTCTAAAGCTTGATGATTTTCCTTCTTGTACTAGACTTGGCTTTGTTTTACCTTTCCGTATGATGCTTGAAGATTTCCTTCCTTTATCTTGGTTCTAGTACAAGAAGTGACACATGCTTTATTCTTCAACTTGTCTATACTTATGTTTTTCTAAAACACTAACACACATGTTAGAAATAACAATATGTATTATATTTGTCTCATTCAAAACCTTGTTGGAAATTGCTTCCTTTGACTTAACAAAAGTGAATTGTTACATTAATAGAAGAACCAAATAACAACAACTCCATAAATACAAAAATCCAATATGACAATGCAAAAAGACCTTAGCAACTATAATAACACATTGAAATCAAAGATCCTACTTGTACTACATATTAAATAACAAGACCTTGTGAAAGTAAGAAGCTAACTTGAGACGATAGGTGAAGCACGTAATGAAGATATCCTTAAAAGGAGCAAATAGGCTTGTTAGGGAGCACAAACACAGTCTCCGTCAACACAAACTAGTCCAAGGTCAACGATTTCCCCTTCTTTTTCCTTTCCCCATCCACGAGCGATAATAGTAGTGTTGCGGCCTCCAAAAAAACCCTTGTCTTGTCCAACAACAATGACTCCCCCTTTCTCTCTCCCTTCATAACCTACCACACGACAATCACATATTCCTTGCCAACACTAGGTTTAACCATGGTTGTGGGTTTCGTCGTGGCTGTCAACTTCATTGTGCCTATCAATTTCATTGAGTTTGCTTGAGAAAAATTGCTTCAAGAATGAGACATGATTTGCTAGAGAGGGGAAGTGAAGGTACGAGAGGGTTTTGAGAGCACGAAGAAGATAGAGAAAATGCTACATCAATTCTTTAGTGGACCTATTTACAATAGAGTATTTTTACATCATTTCCCAATTAGACAGATGTAAAATTGTTTATAAATTATAAAAAAAGAATTACAAAAATTCCACTGTTCTTTTTATCTACATCAGTTATTGAACAATCGATGTAAAAATCTCGTCGTAAAATAGTATCTTTGTGGTAGTGAGACCTAGATGAAATGTCTAGGTCTTTACTTGCCTTTGGAAAAACAACAAGTAGCTATCCAAAAGGACATGTAAAGAGGGACATCTGTAGACACCTAATTTTGTCTAAAGCACTAAAATAAGAAAATGGACCTTCAGCACAAACAAGAAGCTCCCAAAGGCCCGAAAATAGCACCAGAGCAGGCTAACATGACATCCAAAGATCCAAAGAACCAAGTGCTAGAACTAGTAGCCCGGAACCAGCCGTTCCCAAACTAGAACGAGCTATTCCAAGCTTAGAAAAGGGTCTGTAACTCTAGGTCAAAATGTCTCATTCTAACCCATTCTGTTATGTGTAAAATTTAAATTCAAAAAGGGTCATTCTACTTTGGGAACGAACTGTTCCAGATTCAAATTTTACACATAATAAAAAAGTCCAGAACAGCCCATTCTGAAACTAGAACGGCCCATTTTGGTGGATTTTCATGCCTATAAATAGCAAACTCAGGCACAATGCTCGTGGCCGAAAAATTTAGCCTCTAGAAGTCCCTCTAGAGTTTAGACACTTCTTTTTTCCCCTTTTTGTATTTCTTGAGATTTCTGAGGTAATTGTAGTGCAAAAGGCTGTCAAAACGTGCCTAGATTCTGCTCTTGAAGATCTAATAAAGCTCGATCAAGAGGTATTTCAAAAAATATCCTTCCTTTAATCTATTATTCTTGCCATACAACATTGTTAATCAACAAAAACAACCATGTAGACATCTTAGGGGAGATCTTGCAATTTTAAACTCAAATGTAAATAGGGACTTGTCAGCACTATTGGGGTTGTGCCCAGGTGGCGGCAAGGTGATCAGATCGGTATTGTTGTCTTCTTCCAGTATGTGGACACGAGGTGCGTTTAGGAGAGTGTAGAAGTCGTGCTTCCCGGTTTTATTTTTTCGTGCTTTCTTGAATTGGTTGTCATTGGAGATTCTCAATTTTTGTGACCTTGGTCTTGCTTCCCTGTGATTTTTTGCGGATTTGGTTGCGAAATTCAGTATGTTCCTCCATCTGGATGTATCCAGCGGCCCGAGCGTGCAACTCGTCCATGTCAGGGGGAAGTCATCGGCAGAGGCTGTCAACGAAAGGGCCTGGTTTCAGTGCCATGAGCATGGCGTGTAGGGCGACTTTTATATTCATGTTATGGATCTGAATGGAGACGTTGGCAGATCGTTCCATGAATTTCCGCAACGGCTCGTCATTGCCCTGCCTGAGGTTGGCTAAGGCAGCGAATGTGACATGGTGAGTTTATCTTGTTGCGTATTGCACCGTGAAACGTCTTACCAGAGTGTCAAAATTGTTGATCGACCCTACTGGAAATTGGGTGTACTAGGCGAGTGTTGAGCCTTTCAACGAGGTTGGGAAGACCCTACACAAGATAGCATCATCATTAGTGTATAAGTTCAATTGCGTGACATAGAGATTGATATGCTCATCTGGGTCGGTGGTGTCGTCATATCGGTCGATGTTTAGTGGCTTCCACCCAAAAGGGAGGTGTGTTTCCATGATGTCGTCGACAAAGGGGTGACGACGGACGCTCGTTCAATGTGTGGGAGCTTAGGTCGGTGCATTACTAACCTCGTGTTCCGATCTTTGCGTTTGTGCGCGACCGATGTGTTGTTGAACGATGAGATGTTGTCTTGTGCGTTGTCAACGGCCCAACTGGTGCTCCTCCTCGTGGTGGTTGCTTGGTCGAGGAGGTTGGTTTGGAGGTTGCTGATGGAGTTGGGCACGAATGCACTCATTTTCTGCCCACAGCGCCACCAAATCAGCATCATGTCGGGTACGCATGTTCTCCAGGTTGGCAGTATGTTGTTACCGCAATTGGTCGACCTGCTCGATCAGTCGTCGCAATGTTGCTTCTCTGTCCATTCTTAATGCGTTCTATCCTGCCTCATCTGTTGTTCTTCTGTTATGGCTTCAGGTTAAAACCATAAGACTGGCCGATAAAAGAATTCTTGATCGGCCCCACAGTGGGCGCTAGATGTTCTTACCCAAGATCGGTCGTGAGGACGATCTGCTGGCAAGATCGGTGAGCCTCCTCTACTTGGTACGTCGGCTGCTCTGAGATGGGGTGGGTACCTGCAAAAGTGACTCCAATGCTAAAGTTAGTCCTTGATAGTGTAGATGTCTCGTATTTATAGTAGGCATACCTTGGTGATTTTAGGGTTTTCCTCCGTTTGGGGGAGAGTAAGTTTGAAGTCGGCCCAACATTGACCACAAGCCTTGTCGACTATGGGCCTGCGTGCGTGGTGCAATTAGGGCTGACGTGGAGCTCAGTATTTTGGTACATGCAGTACAATTTCTATTTATCATAATTATTTATAAATTAAATTTAATATTTTTTAAAATATATTTGATGAATTTTTCTAATTCTTTAAACTTCTTTTAATCTAATTTAATGTTTATTTATTATATTTCATTGTAAATTAAATTTTAAAATTAATTACCAATAATTAAAAATAATTTTATACTATAATATAAATTATTTATTTAAATTCAAAATATATTTTATACATTTAAAAATATTTATTTATATAAATTTTAAATACAATTTATATATTCAAATATAATATTTATTTATATAATTTATTATAATAAATATTTTACTTGTATAATAGACAGATTAAAATATTAGCTTATAACTCATATCAAAAAACCATTCTTTCAATTTGACATTTGATATATTTTTTAAAAAATAATTATTAAAAATTACAATAATAATAACATAATCTAAAATTATATGATATTACTTCAACATCGATTAAAATGCTTTAGATAGTTTTATAATTTTAAAAAGTAAAATATTCATTTGCATATGTTTAAAAAAGCAAAATGATACTTTTATTTAATAATTTTAAGAAATAAATTAATGAATATCCATAATTTTGAAACTAATCTGGCATTTGACATTACATACAGCATGGGAAGTCTTCGTTCCCGCAACAAGGCAATAAATAAAATAAAATAAAATAAATATCAGGAATAAAAATAGGAACGTGTGTGTGGTATCCATGTGAAGTTCTCAACCAGAAAAAAAACACCCACCAAAACTTGAAGTAACAAAAACAGAAATTCAAGAAATAAATAAATAAATAACATCCTCAAACTGAAAGCAAGTGCGCGGTGAGTTCAATGAATGATCAAAACCGGTTTTGAATTTTGATCCATCACCGTATTCTCAATGGCGGAAACCTCTGCACTGTGCTTCTCCACCTTCGGATTCTCTTTTGCTTCACCCTTTTCTCCTTCCAAAACCTTCCCTTTCAATTTCAACAACCCTTTCCCTTTCCCTCCTTCGCCTTCCACCCCTCACACGCGCCTCCTCCATTTTTCCCCCAAAGCCACCTCCTTCGGCAACCTCTCCGGCGACGATTCCTTCTCCTTTTTCCCTTGGTCCGATTCCGGCTCCGGTACCCTCTTCCTTTTTCCCTTATTTTCAATTTCAAAATTTGGGGTTGCATACTTTTATATTTTTCCACTTTAAGCACGTTGCCAATTGGAATTGGTGATTATCTCAAATAGTTCATGGTTAAAGTAAAAGCCTGTACCCTTTTAATTTTAATCTTTAAATTTGAGATTTTTGTGACTGTGGGTGGATTCGATACTTTATATCCCGTCTAACTTGATCAATAGTAGAGGTGGTTTTATCCCCTTGTCAGCATTTTAAGGAAAATAGTTTAGAATTGAGATGATCGATGCAAGATTCATAAATTGTTTAGGCCAATTTGAACAAATGGTTAGACATCTTACGCTCATACATTTTGGGGTTGATCTAATTAAATATCAGGAACCAGATTAGTATCTGGTCCAGTATACTGAGGTTATCCATGGGGACGAAAGAAAATTGTTTAACCCTTCGTGCTATCACTTATACATATATTCTGAGTTATTTTCCTATATGTTTGTGACTTTTCAGATATTCAATGGGTTCCTGAGGAGAGAATTACGTTATTCACTGCAGATGGACTCGTTCAGATTGGAGGCTCCATGGTTCCTCGCCTTGTCAGCTCGTCGGATGTATGGTTTTGTCATGCAGTTTATCATATTGCTTTTCAGTTTTCAAGTTAACAATTGAAAAATAGAGGGAACCTTAAATGTGCTGGTGATATTTTCTCAGTTGGTTATGTTTGGTCCGAGTGTGTTTTTGGGTCCAAAATCTTATTCAGCGAAGGTACAACAATGATATTTGTTATTAAGTGATAACTTCAACACAGCTTTTTGGAGTTTTCCAAACAAAGCACATGGCCTTCTCACCTAAAACTTTGTTGAAAATTTAATTCCATTAGAAGGGGGGAGAACTACATTACTGAAGAGGCTTTGCTACTATGTCAAGAAATCAACTACTTAAAAACTTCAACTAATATAGGTGAAAGTCCAACATGTTTCTTATCATGATCAAAAAGTTTTGATTAGGTGCTTGCTATTTCTGATATGTTGATTATTGTAAAAGATTTAGTCTCTTTGCCCTTTTACTCCTAATGTTCAAAAGTATATTAGTCCTTCATGTTGAATACTTGCTATCGTAGAATCAGCTTTTAATCCCAAGACAGGGAAGATACAATATGCACTTCTTGAACCTTTGTGATTTTCGATGTATGCTTTGTCTTGTTTATAATTCATTTCGATGTTAGGTGTTATTTTAGATTGGCTAATCGCATTGTCATGCTTCACAGAAGAAGCAAGGGAAATCAAAAACCACCCAAAAATTTCAACGGTTTCAGGAGAGTGATTACATGGATCCCAATCAAGGCCTTTGTCTCGGGGCACTCTTTGATATTGCAGCTACTAATGTAAGTACCCAATCTTTTGACTAAACCTCCTCTGTGAGTTATCCTTTTTGTCATCTCAATATCTCATAAGTATGAATTACCTCTAGGGACTTGATATGGGCCGAAGACTTTGTATTTTTGGTTTCTGCCGTTCCATTGAGATGCTTAGTGATGTGGTTGAAGACACCGTTTTAGAGCACGGTGGGGAGGTAGGCCACACTTTTTCTTTCAATAAAGCTGCTGTCCTCTGGTTCTTGTTATTTGTTGAAAAAAGTTCAATCAAAATTTCAAACCATTGTTAAAATTTCATGAGATGTTCTGCTTGTTAAACTGCCTTGCCCACAGGAAAATCTCTAGAGATTAGTTCTACACAAAAAATAAGGGTAAAAAACATTCACCTTTCCTTACCATTCAATTTATCTCTGTGGAGGTGTTTGGAATAGCTTTTATGAAACTTATTTGAGCCTATGAAAATAGCTTATGACTCCAATGAGCTATTTTTATGGCCAAATTTATAAGTCCTTGTGTGATAAGAACTTAAATAAGAGCTTAATTAAGTTTTGTACTAAAATACACCCTAGATCTTTTCTTATCAACTTTCAGTTTGTAGTATCTTGTTGAAATGAAAGAATAAGTTATGCAATTATAGAAGAAGTTTGAATTGGAAAACAATCATTAACTGGATTTAGACAGAGGGCTTTTCATGTGAGTTTTGGACCTAATTCATTCTTACAAAATTGATTTGTTAGGTGAGAATTGTTTCATATTTATAGGCACTAATTTAGTCTTATTACTAGTCAATGTAGGATCTCCAACAGGTTTGTTGATGAGAATTGTATTGTGCCTATTTTACCTTAGTTCTCTCAACTTAATAAAAAATTAATGTGCATCTGGAATTTTTATGGGTAGTTTCATGTCTGGAAAATCCTGGAAGTTAATTGGGTTGGTAGGTACCGCCTATTGAGACTATGAGACCCTCATGTTTGGTGAAATGCATAGACATGGAAGCATTTACATGGCAACTATCCGTTGATCACAATATCCAGATTTTTAAAATTTTTCTATTGTGTGTCAACGGATATTCTGAGCATTAGAACCAATCTTATATGGCAGGTTATTGCCGCAGAGAAGGCCAGCAAAGGTGATTTACATGAAAAGCTAACCATGACTGTTGCAGTGCCATTATTATGGGGGGTTCCTCCAGTTTCCGAGACTCTTCACCTAGCTGTCAAAAGTGGTGGAGGGATTGTAGAGAAGGTCTATTGGCAATGGGACTTTCTGTAAATACATGTTGTAGTTCTTCTAACCATTCTTTCTGCACTCTGTACATAAAATTGTATCTCTGTATATGTACACTAAAATGTTGTCATTGTACCTCTACTTGTACAAAAAATTATATCCATGATAGTATCCAATTATCCGTTCTTTGAGCCACAATGAGTTAGTGAACAGCTAATTCTGGCATTCTCAACCTTGAAATTTGATGCTAAAAAATGATTTGAATATATCTACGGATAAATGAAAAAGTCTAATGGGTTTGAAGGGTAGAAGAAAACCTGGGCAATTAACGACCAATTCAAATGAAGTAGAAATTATAGAACTTTACGCATAAGCTGATCGAAAGGAGTGAAGTGCTTTTAAGTCATCTTTTAATAATGTGATCAATAAAGTGCAAGACAGTCATAGATAACTAACTTTGTTTCTTAAGCCTAGTGAAAGAAGTGCAATAGATAACCCAGTTTGTTTCTTACATGGCTTGGAGAAGCCTTTGTCCTTAGCTCACACACAAAAGCATCTCTTAATAATGGGAGATTTTCTTTTTCTTTCCTTTGTTGTTGTTGTTGTTGTTGTTCACCCAATAATCTGATATGGAGTTAGTTATATTCAGTTAGGTGATATGTTAGTTGAGGATATAAAAGGGAATAAGACCCATATCTAAAAATTAGACATTCATTCTTTTGTAAACAAAATTCTTCTCTCTGCAAACTCTGATCAATAAAATTTCTTTGGAATCTCTTCTTGTTCAAGATTCCCTAGCTTTCATCTAGTTCTTCGATTTACTTAAAATTCCTAGAACTATTTCTTCTCTTATCAATTGGTATCAGCCTCTCCCTTCCTTTATCAATCTTTATACATGGCGGAAAACACTAGAAATCAGGCAGCATTGAAGGAGATAGAGGATTGTATAGCAGCAGGATTAGAAACGCGTTTGATTGAACTTACGGGGAACATTAAAAAGGCACTGGATGAATCTTTAAAGAACAACATTCAAGAAATGCTCAGAATTTCAAACGAAGGTAATGATAGTCATAATTCTCATTCTGGGAGTGCGAATCAGAATAAGGGGTCTAATCCACAATATTCTTGCGGAATGAGACTGGCCAGAATGGATTTTTCGAAATTTTGCGGCGATAACGTGCATCAATGGATCTATCAAGCTGAGAATTATTTTTCTATTGATAATACTCCCAATGATGTTAAAGTCAAGATAGCTATAATTCACCTTGAAGGAAAAGCCTTGCAATGGCATACGACATTCGTTAGATTTGCAGGTAATTTTCCTATTCATAATTGGGCAGTGTACACTAACTTGTTGATTGACACGTTCGGTGAAGTATGTGATGATCCAATGGCTGAATTAATGAAATTGAGACAAACAACTAGTGTTGAGAAATACCATGAAGATTTTGATGCTATTATTGCTCAATTACAACTTTCTGAAGAGCACACGTTAAGTTAATTTTTTGGAGGATTAAAGCAAGACATTCAAATGTTAGTGAGGATGTTTCAACCAGATTCTGTGAGAAGGGCATTTACTCTGGCAAAAATGTATGAAGCTGCTAGTTCTCAATCCTCTATAGCAACTACCCTCGTGAAACAGAATAGAAATCTTTCTAATCAAAAGTCATTAGGAGAAAAACCGGTAGCTCTAACCACTTTAGGGGTAGACAACCCCAAGACAGCACCCAAGATTACCAAGAACCTTACCCCAGCGTATATGGATGAAAGGAGAGCTAAAGGTCTCTGTTACTTTTGCGATGAACCCTTTACTCAATCCCATAGTTTGACTCACAAGAAATTACAGATACATGTTTTAGAAATTAATGATTGTGATGACGGAGTAACAAGACTTGATAGTGATATACAAACTGAAGAAGTAGATATGAAAGAGCCTCAAATTCTCGTGAATGCCTTAACGGGAGTTGCCAATTTTAGAACCATGCGAATTACTGGTTATCATAAAAAGAAACCTCTCCATGTGCTGATAGATAGTGGAAGTACACACAATTTCTTGGATATTAATATAGCCAAGAAGTTGGGTTGTAAGATTGTGGAGTTGGATCCTTTGAATGTGGTTGTTGCAGATGGTACTAAATTGCATATTTCCTTTGTAGTAAAGGATTTTTCATGGACAATCCAGCAAACTACTTTCACTTCTGACATGATGCTTATACCTTTAGGTTGCTGTGATTTGGTGCTTGGCATAGAGTGGTTGGTTACATTGGGTAACATTACTTGGAATTTTGACAAATTGACAATGGAGTTTGTGGTACAAGGAAGAAGACATGTCCTTCGAGGTGCATCCTCCAATGGATTTCATACCATAAAAAGGCAGCAGGTACATAGAACTCTGAAGGAAGGAGTACACCTTACAATGATCCGACTATGTGAAGAAGATACTTCCTTGCTTCAATCTATGACTACACATGCTACTCAACCAGCTATTCCACAAATCATTTTGCAGCTTTTGGATGAATTTGAGGACATTTTTCAGGAGCCCACACAACTTCCTCCTTTTAGGCCTAATCATGATCACAAAATTCCATTAATACAGGGAGCTAATTCGGTGAATAAATGACCCTACAGGTATGCAAGGCAGCAAAAGGACATAATAGAGGGTTTGATTCAGTAATATTTGAAGAATGGAGTTATACAGCACAACACTAGCCCTTATGCAAGTTCGATAGTGCTAGTTGGAATGAAAGACAACTCTTGGAGATTGTGCGTGGATTATAGAGACCTGAATCAAGCTACAATCAAGAACAAATTTCCTATTCCTTTGGTGGATGACTTATTGGATGAGTTGCATGGCTCTACAGTGTTTTCAAAAATAGATTTGAGAGCTGGTTATAATCAAGTCAGAATGGCAAATTGTGATGTGGGTAAGACAACATTTAGGACACATGGAGGACACTACGAGTATTTGGTCATGCCATTTGGGCTTACAAACGCTCCCGCCACTTTCCAAAGCCTTATGAATGACATTTTCAAACAAATTTTGAGGAAGTTTCTATTGGTCTTTTTTTATGATATACTCATCTATAGTAAGTCTTTAGATGATCATGTGACACATTTACAACAAGTATTGTTAACAATGTGAAATAATTCGTTATTTGCTAAAAGGTCCAAATGCTACTTTGTTGTTGGAAAGGTAGAATACTTGGGTCATTTCATAAGTGGTGAGGGTGTTTCCACTGATCCTACTAAGATAGAAGCTATGGTTAATTGGCCATTTCCTCAATCAATAAAACAACTTAGAGGCTTCCTTGGGTTAGCTGGATATTACAGGAGGTTTGTTCACAGGTATGGAGTTGTTGCTAAACCTATCACAGATATGCTGAAAAAGGATAATTTTGCTTGGACACATGAGGCCAAATTAGCCTTCCAGCATCTCAAGCAATTGTTGTCTTCTACCCCTGTGTTAACATTACCCGATTTTAGTAAAAAGTTTGTAATTGAAGTGGATGTTTCAGGCTCTGGCATTGGAGCAGTATTGATGCAAGATAACCATCCTATTGCCTATATAAGTAGACCCCTCAATAAACAACAACAAGCCCTCTCCACATATGAAAAAGAGCTCATTGCGGTGGTGTTTGCAGTCCAAAAATGGAGACATTACTTGTTAAATAGACACTTGATTATTAGAACAGATCATCACAGCCTGAAATACATATCGGACCAAAGGTTATCCACTGTTTTTCAGCAAAAATGGTTAGTCAAACTCATGGAATTTGATTTTTCTATTGAGTACAAACAAGGGAAAGAGAATGTAGTAGTCGATGCACTCTTCAGATTGGATTTAACGAAATGTCATGCTTTAGTTACTTGTCAATTACAATCTGATTTATGGGCCAGAATCTAGCAACTATGGTCCTCAGATCTTGCCTTACAAAAATTAATTTCTGAGATTGTGAATGATTCGTCATCGCATAAGTATCACACTTGGGTCAACAATGAATTGCGAAGGAAGGGGAGATTGGTTATAGGGAGTGATCAGACCTTGAGAAAAGATATACTCTAGTGGTTACACGCTTTTGCAGTTGGAGGACATTCGGGCAGGCAGGCTACTTTACAAAGACTCAAAATTGTAGTGTATTGGAAAGGGATGCACAAGGATGTTCAGTTGTTTGTTCAACAATGTGTCACTTGGCAGTAATGTAAGTATGATACTGCAGCTTCACCTAGCCTGTTACAACCTCTCCCAATTCCTGGTCATGTATGGCATCACATCACAATGGAATTTATTAAGGGATTACCAATTTATTATGGCAAAAAGGTTATTTTTGTGGTTGTAGATAGATTGAGTAAAGCTGCTCATTTCATGGCTTTATCTCATCCATATACAGCTACTGAAGTAGCCCAATCCTTCATGGATAATGTCTTCAAATTACACGGGTTTCCAGATTCTATCACTAGTGATAGAGATCGGTCTTCACTAGCCAATTTTGGAAAGAATTCATGAGTCTATAAGGGGTTCAGATTCAGTTGTCTACATCCTATCACCCTCAAACTGATGGACAGTCTGAGGTTGTCAATAGATGCCATGAAACATACTTAAGGTGCATGTGTTCTGATTATCCTCAACAGTGGTACAAATGGCTTCCCTTGGCTGAATGATGGTACAACACTACCTTCCATACTTCTATACAGGCCACTCTTTATGAGATTGTTTATGGACAACCTCCTCCAGCTTATTTGCCTTATCTACTAGGGGAATCCAAGTTGGGTTTGATAGACAGAATTTTGGTGAAAAGAGAAGAAATGCTAAAGGTTCTTGTTGAGATTTCCGTTGAAATTACTTTTTGTTATCATTGTAAATCATTTTAATTCTATCAACGGACTCAAACACGGCAAGTATACTATCCGTTCAAGTAGTAAATTATATCTTATCCACAGGGACTAGTAGGTAAAATAAGCATTTATTGACTATTCGTGACTAAAGAATGATTCCATTTTCATAGATTGTCATGCAATTCAAATAAAGGTTATGACCTATGGAATGTTAAAACTATAAAATTGATTGTGTGTGTGGAAGGAATAGAAATGGTATTGTAGTTTTGTAAGATTGTGGGGTCAGATATCACTGAACTACATACTGATGAATCTTTAATCTCTTGTTACATCCATTGCTTAGTCAACCCATAAGTTT